TTGCTGGTAACGCGTTGAGTGTCAGGTAAAAGTATTAGGTAATCCTGAAACATCGAGTGGTATTCAAAAGGTTATAAAACGAACTAAACTTCAATACTTTATTAATTTTTATTATTATAATTAACAATATTGCCACCAAACGCGATAATCCCAAAGGGCTTATCACTTCTTAAGCCTCTCGTTTCATATGGGAATAATGTAGTCACGCTTTAACTCATTAATAACCCTATTATAACATCGTTTATAAACGATGTTTTAACCTATTGACAACTTTATGACATTTGACAAGACCTGTTGAATGTCAAAAAATTACCTGCAGCCTACAAGTGGCGCCCGCAGTTCAGGTAATAGGAGATCGGTCTATTATCGTAATTTTAAGTGTGATAGTCCAGGCATGTTTTTCTGTGTTGTGGATGTCCTCATGGAAAGTTTCCTATTCTTTTTTTGACTCGTATGTTTTAAATTGTTTGTTTCTGAGTACTTATACCACTCTTTTTGTACAATTTTAGTTGGCACTGATGATGGCTAATTAGCCGGAAGCGATTTGCTCCTATTAATTGAAATGTACACGTTCATACAAAGTCTCATACTTCAGTTATCTTCTTACGTGTACATAGCCGCAAGCTGTAGTTATTATTTATTCATTTAAGAAAAACATTTGCTTTTAGCAAAGTATGTTATTGTTTATTCTAAGTGTCTGGGGTTTATTTTTATAAATGATTGAATATTTGAGAAAGAGTATTCTCAGTATAAATAATTATTAGTAATTAAATAATAGCGAACCATTGTAGCCCCTTTTTTAACAGAAAAAGATACTACAGAGGCAGCTGTTCGCCAGAGAGCAATATTAGGGTGAGTAAGGAGTGTCTATAGTGGCCGCCAGAAGATTTAAATTTTTAAGTTCCAAATCCTCAAAAAATTGCATATCAAAAGAAATATGAAAAAGAGGTAATCCAAAAATAATTGTAACAACTGTCTACACTCATTTTTGTTTATGAAATTGAAGCTTTGATGTTTTTTAAAGCCTGAGTGTAAAAAACTATTCCTCGTTAAATTTCTTAAACCTAAAAAGCTGAAATTTTCACTAAATCCTTATATCTAAAAAGAGCTGAAATTTTCCCTAATACATCATTAGATGTAACAGTACTATATAACCCTTGGCCGCTTGGCCTGGTCAGGACCGAAGTTTATTAATTAAATCCAAGGATTTCAAGATATAGAATTAAACTTATAAGTATAAAAAAAAACCTGTTTACGAGCGAGTTTCCCAGCTGGATTCTTCAAGTTTTACAAAGAAGACTGTAATGGTCTGTGATTACCGTGAAAGGAACCCCTTCAATCCAAGGTCTAAACTTTTCTATACAGAAAATCACTGCTAGACATTCACGCTCAGAGACAGAGTAGTTACGCTCAGCTCAAGTCAAAGCTCTGCTAGCATAGGCAATTACACGTTCTTCACCGTTCATATTTTGTGTCAGTACACCCCCTAAACCTACGTCAGATGAGTCTGCTTGAACAACAAATTCTTGGGAGAAATCAGGTTGAGAAAGAACTGGTGCGGAAACAAGTTTCTCTTTAATGGTGATAAAAGCTTTCTCAGCCTCCTCATTCCAGGAGATAGCCTGTTTTTTCTTTCTACCCTTTACAAGTGAATTAATTGGACTGACAAAAGAGGAAAAGTCCTTAATGAATCTTCTGTACCATGAGCACATACCTATGAAACGTTTAACCTCTGTAGTATTTTGGGGACGGGGATAATTAACCATACTTTCAACTTTTGACGGATCAGTAGCTAAAGAATTGTTACCAACAATGAAACCAAGGTACTTAAGGGATGTTTGGAAGAAATTACATTATTCCAAATTAATCGTGAGACGAGCTTGTCCTAGAAGATTTTGAACAGTTGCTAGTAAGTCCAAATGCTGATCCAAGGTAGGAGAACATATCAAAATATCATCAAGGTAAGAGAAAATATAAGGTTCGTATTTCGGACCAAAGATAGCATCAACCAGTCTTTGCTGAGATTTTGCAGCATTACACAAACCGAAACGTACAACATTAAAATCGGAATGTCCCCTGCTAATAATTGAGAAAGCTGTCTTCTCTTTTGAAGACTCGTCTAGAGGGATTTGCCAAAAACTTTTTCTAAGATCGAGGGCAGAAATAAACTTGGCATTACGCAAGCTATTCAGAATTCTATCAACATGAGGTAATGGATAAGAATCGTGTTTACTAATATCCAGTGGCGGCTCGTCAGAGGAGGCAGGGGAGGCTAAGCCTCCCCAAAAAAATTTAAAATTTTAATCTCAATATTTTATCCCTAATTCCTAATCAATATTATAATTCACAAATTACACTTTCCAAATTTCGATATTTTAATTTAATTTGGAACAATCTGACAACATTATTTCAAAAAATTCCGCGCCTTCACGACAAAAATCTGTTCCTTGCCCGCAATTTTACTATTAGAAATCGCCCGGAGGCTTGATTCTCATATGCTTCCCTGAAATCTAGCATTCAAACGGACCGCGAATCTCAGCGACCAATAGAAATGCCAGAAACACGTCGAACCGTTCCTGGCGTTCAGGCACCATCGAGTCGAGGAGCGGCTAGCCGCATACATGGATTGCAAGGTTGGAAACTGCCATCCTTGTTGTTTTATCTCTGTTTTATGCAATCAGAGTTCCATGTCACTTTTTTATTCGGAAGTTGTAGATTGTTGATTGATATTTTTTGTCGTCAGGTGCATTTCCAAAATTGTGGCGATAGGTATAGTGGATTGGTTGGCAAGTGCAAATCATCACTTTAGTTTGCTTGATATAGAAACAAAATCTTACATAGTTAAAACTTTATGAAGACCTACCCCAAATTTAATAACATTGAAAACTTCAGATGCACGTCGAAATCGTGGTTTTAGTATTACTTGGTATGACAAATGTGAGTGGTGGACGGGATCTAAAAATATGGGAAAATTATTTTGTTGGTTTTGTTTAATATTTTCCAAACAAACCGATAACTCTCCGTGGGCCAAAATAGGATTTTCTGATCTGAAAAATTTGCCTCGTTCTATTCAACGACATTCAAAATCCCAAGAACATATTACTTCTTCTTGTAAAATCAAATTGTTTGGAAAACAGAACATTGCAACTGCCATTGATAGCGCACGAAGGAATGCAATAATTTCTTTTAACAACCAAGTTAAAGAAAATCGATTCAATTTGAAGAGACTTATAGATACAACAATATTTTTGGCATCACAAGAAATGGCTTTTCGGGGCCATGATGAAAGAGACGAATCCTCTAATCGGGGAAATTACAAGGAATTGCTTTCGTTGTTTGGCAAATATGATGAAAAATTCGCAAATTTTTTGGACAATAATATTTTCTCTGGAACTTCAAAAACAATACAAAATGAGATTATTGAAAGCATAACATTTGTTTTAAAACAAAGAATAGATAAGGAAATTGAAGATGCTATTTTTTTTTCGTGGCAAATTGATGAAACCACTGACATTTCCTGCTACTCTCAATTATCAATTGTTTTCCGTTACGTGAAAAAAAGTGAAATTGTAGAAAAATTCTTTGGTTTTTATGATGTTTCGGCTGGACGAACCGCCCAAGATTTATTCCAATTATTAATGAATGAATGTGAAAAATATGATTTTAAAGAAAAATTGGTCGCACAAACATATGACGGTGCCGCTGTTATGTCTGGTCATTTAAATGGCCTTCAAGCCAAAATAAAGGCAGTAGCTCCCCAAGCTCTTTTCACACATTGTCACGCACATTCATTAAATTTAGTTTTAAGTAAATCCTGTAACACTAGCAAGGATTGCAGAATTTTTTTTTCTAATTTGTCCGGATTTGCACCATTTTTTTCGAAATCGACTAAACGCACTCATGTTTTAAACCAAATATGTGGTAGTAGAATACCAACTCTTTCTGCTACCCGTTGGAATTTTACTTCACAATCTGTATTTACAGTGCATAAAAACAGAGACAAATTGATTGAAGTATTTGATTTTATAATTGACAGCGAGGAATTCAAAAACGATATTCAATCGGTAAGAGAAGCAGAAGGCTTGAAGCGATATTTGAATGAGCCAAAATTTTGTTTCTTGCTGGAAACATTCAAATTAATTTTTGAACAAACTGAGGTGGTTTTTTCAATACTTCAGAATCGATTAACAGATATAAATTTTTCAAAAAATCGTATTCTCAACTTAATTAAAACCTTAAAAGAGTTTAGAAATAATGACAATTATTTTAACAAAATATTTGAAGTACTATCAAATTTTAGGCCAGAAAATAAACGTAAAACTACACTTGATTTACCAGATTTAAGATTGAACTATAAAATTATTTTTGTGGAGATATTAGATACTATAATGATGCAAATTGAAGTTAGATTCGGCGATTTAGAAAAATTAAAGTTTTTCGATCTTTTCCCTGTAAACAATTTTTCGTTTCAGAGATGTTTCAGAAACATATCTTTTTCGCTTGAAACATTCTTCGGAACTGCAGATATATGTTTCGGAAACGTTTATGTAACTTCAAATGTCCTACCTCAGAAATGTTTCATGAAACATTAAGTAGAAATGTTCCGGAACGTTGCTGTTGAACTAAAATGAAACTTTTTATTGAAATACCTATGAAACATTGCAAAATGTTTTTTTTGTAATGTAACATATTAATGTTTCTGAAACATTGCGAAATGTCTTTTTCATATTAATGCTTCTGAAGCATTTTAAAATGTTTCAAATAAAACTGCAAGATAATATAAAAATAACACCTTTTATTTGATTATTTCTCAAAAGATACAAACACAAAAAAAAACTTGAAAAAACGTATAACTTCTCAATAAATCATATTATAACATAACACTCCTTCTGAGGCGACAAAAAAAAACTTAAAAGAAATTTCTGTATTTTAAATACTTAGGTATATACTAACGATTATATTATGCACAGATATATCACCACATTTAGGTAAATCCCGCATTACTGTAAATCTTCATTAATGTTTTCATCCTACAAAAAGAGACAAATACCTAATTAGGAATCTGATTAAAGCTATAAAAGTTAATTCACCGAGTTTTATAATTTTATAAGTTTTTCTTTAATGTGCTTAAAATTTTAATTTAGTATAGAAATATTATAGAACTTTGTGATGAAAAAACTTGACTACTCCTAAAAGAGCTATTGTCTAATTACCTACTTAAATGATAATTGTAAACATACCTGTCTTTCTTTTTGTCTGAACCTGTCAAATCTGAGTTTTGCCTGTCGAAACCAGAGACCCAGCTCTGACTGAAATTCAGAGTCTGTGAAGGCACCAAATTTTCTCCGTACTGCCACCTTCAGGATATCCAGAATTTTGAGCTGGCTTAAGACAAAATTGTTCTTCCTTCCAGTCCAGCTACACTTCATAGCTAATTTATCAGAAAAAATATTTTTTAAGCCCCTTCTTATCAGTTCCTTTGGGGTGGCACCTCCAAGTAAAAACAAAGCAGCTTCCTAAAAGAATAAACAAAGAATGTCATATAAATTTGGTATGATAAAAAAAAAAAACGTTTGGATAAAAATTGTTAAAAAATTATAAAAAATAATGATATATTCTTTAAAAACCATAAATTAATTATATATTTATTAAATACTCACATTTTGACAACGTGCGTTCTCGTCAGTCCGTAGTTTTTCATCAAACTTTTGCAGTTTTCTAAATTTTGAGAACGCTTTTCCCGGAACCAAATCAAAATTTGTCACAACAGTTTCATTGTGATTGTTATTTAGAGTCCTTTGGTTTTCTTTTTCTTGATATTCCAACATTTTTTTCACAGCAATTACATTGCTCAAAATTGATTTCAAGATTTTGGATTCTAGAAATTTCAAAAAAAGCATAACAGATAGAGTGATGCAGATCATTTTGTTTTAATAATTTGTAGAAAGGAAATTAGAAAAGGCCTGTCAAAACAACAATTTTCAAGATAAACAAGAAAAACTAATTTAGTTTATTAAGTAAAGTTTTTTTTTTCAAGAACTTACCTTCAATATTATGACCACCACAGCAATTATTACACTTCCCGTTTTGTGAGGCTCTTTCGTTTTCTGAAATTAAATAATTAATTATCATGTAATATTTGCTATTCTGGAAGACTTATTACATACCATTATCAACTACCGATGGTGTAACGGAATTGGTAATAATAGTCTCTGCCGTCACTTCAGTAGTAGAAAGGGTTCGACGAATAAGGGTACCTAAAAAAGTGTTTATTAGGTGGTAAAAAATAAATAATTTTGTTAGAAAAATTTGTTATTTCTTACTTTTATTTAATTGGACATTAATTTTGCTTCTCATTGAAGCGGGTTCCAATGATGGTCTTGGTATGAGCTCTAGTGACGTTGGCACTGTTTTCAGTGACTTTGGCACTGCATTCAGTGACTTTGATACTGCATTCAGTGACTTTGGCACTGCATTCAGTGACTTTGGTACTGGTTCAACAACCATCGATGGCGGTGGTGTCATTAATCCTGAAATTTCATCATCCAGCTCAATATCTTCACTATCTTTTGAATCATCAAAGTTTGTAGGTCTCTTGCGTTTCCTATGGCCTTTTCCTAAAGGTTTAACCAGAAAGGTTTCAGGTGCGCTTTCACCTTCTGACAGTAGCCTCAGATATTCCCTTGCCATTGCATATAAATCTACAACAGCAGATCACAATAGGACAAAAGATGGTAAAATGTTTTCAATAAATTTTTGACAAAGTTGATAAGCTTTTTTGTTTAAATACCTTGGAAGTAAAAAAAATTACTATAGAAAAACTAACCAGTCTGTTTTAGAACTTCCACTTTTAGTTGTATCCAACTACTGGAATCTGGAACTGATTGCACCATAATATGCCTACCGGCATTTTTTGTAGGCCAATAGCAGAGGGCTGTATTTATTTTCTTGTTATAATTGGATAGCCATGTTGTAGGAACATGTGATATTCTTTCATCAGAAAAAAATTTCACTACAGACCATTCCTTAAAAAAAATAACTTAAACAACTACTTATTACATACAAATTAACTTAGATTAATTATAAACTCATCAAACAGAATACGGTTATGCACTTCTAATCTATGTATTTAAATTAAATAAGGAAAACTTATTTTATTATTGGGCTTACATCAAGGGGTATATAAACTGTGAGGCCAAAACCTTGGACCAATACAGGCCAATGGAGAGACAATGGCAATTATTTGAGAGCAAATTATAGACAAATAGGGAAAATTATGGAATTCTGCAGGGCCAAATTGAAGTCCGATGAAGGACCAATTACTAACAATTAAGGGCAACTTTGATATAAATTATACATATTATGCTTACATTTTGAAAAAGGTACAATTCAAGGAAACTATTGGACCAAAAGGTCCAATGTGACATGTGACAATTAATAGCAAATGGCCAATGAGTGTACAGATTTTTGCGTCACAGTTTACCCCTCGGTTTTAAAAAGGTATGCTCGAATGAGCCAACAATCAACAATGCACTAAGGAAATAATTATAATGCCATTTGGAGTTGAACTATACATACATTTTCCTTTTATTCTAGATAAATCACAGTTTTCTGATATAACTGAAATGTTGGTAGCTATGTTCATATTAAAAATTGAGGAGGAACATGGATTATTATAAAGGGGTTTGATATTTTGTGCCTTCGTTCCAGATACAAATATTCCTTTTGTAAAATTATGTACATAAATGTTATTGATAAACAAATAGCTTCCATCGCTCAATATGGCACAATTATTCTTTGAATCTGTACAAAACTCATAATGTTCTAACTGCAATTTCTTGAAAAAAGAACAATTACTGGTAAGGCTACTAAGGCCAGGTATTAAGTTTGATTCAATCTCTTGGTGGACCTTGGGAAATACATCTCTCTTAATAGACAATAATTTGGATTCTTGTTATTTAAGGCGATTACATAATTGTTGTAAGGGGTGCTTGGATGTTTTCATAATCTGTTTTAGACTGAACAGATAATTTTCAAATTGAAAAGAGCTGAAACTGTCAAGAACTCCATGTTCAATGCAGTCCAAAGGTAAGTGCAGTAGTCCATGAACATTATGAGTTACATATTCAGCACCATAAATTACTGAAAAGTTTTTAATAAAAAATTTTAAAAGTTCATAGGCATAATTATTATCAACAATGTATAAATTTTCACTACACAAAATTCTGATTGCAACGTGCAAACACATGAAATGTAAATACTGAATTTTATTTAAAGAATCTTTCAAAACTATTGGTCCAGTGTACAGCAAAAATTGTCTAAATTCAGTGGCTTTAAAATGTTCAACGTCGGCCAAACTCCTCGGCAAACGAGAAAATTCCTTTGGAGTACTTGACCTTAAAAACTGTAAATTTGTATTTATATGTTTCAATTTTTCTTCAGGAATCCGAACACTCTTATCACCTTTCACCCAAAAAACAATTAGCCTTTTCACAACACCTAAACACACCAGGTGCATGTAATCTAGAGGTACTTGTGACACTAAACCTAAGGACAACTCTTCAAAAGGACTTTCTCCTTTATGATAATCCTCACAAGTTTTATTCCTGAAGTCCTCATCTGTACGTAAGGGTGATGACAGTCCTGGAAAAGTAATTCTTCCTTTGATGTATTCACCTTCTTCATTACACTTAGTACATCCAAAATACCCAGTAAAGCTCTTAACATTCAAAATAAATGATTTAGCTGGTGCATCACAAGTTATTTTGGAAATTTTGGGTTTCACAACCACATTTTGAAAATTAAACCCATTTGTTAGTTGTTTGAATTCAGCCAAAAAAGTACTGAGGTATTCAGAAGCTGAAGATGGTTTTTTAAAACCATGATAAACCCCAACCGGAAATGGCCTCCCTGTACTGATATTTTCATTATCAATATTCACTAAAATAGGCCAGAACTGACTCGTTGAACTCTTTGTTAAAGGCAAGCCATCAATATTAATGCTAAGGGATATATCAAGGCTTGTTGCCTGTTGACGAAAGCCTGTTCCATAGTGGCTACTTAATGCCTTTTCCAACATGTACTTTAACCCAAAGTGACAATATTTCCCAGGTGCTATTATAGATATTGGAAACTGACAAGTTTGTGGAGTGTTTAAGAATGTTCTACTATCACTCGGCAAAATTTTGCATTTTGGTTTCAAGACTGAAAGAAGATCGTTTATGGCACTTTGGCTTAGTAAATGCCTATACTTTAAAAACCACTCTCGCAAAGCATTCACAAACTGGACATCATCACTATCTCCATTTGTTTCTAAAGCCTCTGGCAAAATTGGAACAAAATTACTAGAATAACTTAAACTTATTGGGCTTTTTTCTAATCTGAGTACTGCATTATTTCCTAATTGAGATTCTACAGGTTGACTTGAACTTGAAGGCCCATGACTGACAGGATTCTCAGGAGTCGCTTCTGACAATAATTGCCATGTTGGATTTTGACACTTGCTCAATTCGTTTTTCAATTCCTTACTAACAAGACGGCGCAGATGTCTTTTAGATATAAAATTCCGCTTTGTTCGGCCCATATTATTACACAAAATCGAGCACAAAATAGTGGAAAAACCGAGAGAAAAAACTTTTTATTTACAAAAATATTCGCAAGAATATCTACAGTCCTACTCACTCACTACTGATTAATACTACGAGCAAAGAAAGAAAAAAGCGTTAAAGTTCTTTTATGCTGTGAAAAAATGGAGGGAAAATCAGAAAACGCAGAATTGGCAACTATTTACTTACTTATACTTTTGGTACTTACCAAATTCCCTGTAGTATTTTGGGTATTATCCACATCACTTGTTTCACACTCTGACATTTTTTGGTCACAAATAATTGCAAATTCACAATCACAGAATGAGAATACAAAAACAAAAACAAACGGACCAAACAGCGTGTCAACAAAACCCCCAAAGGCAAATGCAAAATGCAAATGGCCTCCTATTGTGCAGTGTTGCCAATAGCGTTCCAGCAAAACGTTGGACCGTATTCGTGAAATAAACTAAAAAATTCCGCTTGCTGGCTAGAACATCCACCTGTATCAAGTGATTTTCGATTATTCATAATTTTTCAACAGGTGCATCAGTCTTGAAAATATAGTATTTCTATTATGTATTTAAAATGTTGCCTTTGTTTAAGGTTAACATTCCGCAAATTACAGAAGATTATTTATATCCGGCAATACTGTCTTAAATCTACATTGAGTTCGACGCGGGTGCTGCTTGTCGGCGGCGCCTGCGCCAATGATTGGGCACTGGAGCCAAGGAAGCTTTCACAAACGTTTCTGAAACATTTCTGAAACATTTGTGCTTTACATTGCATTATCGCATGACTTCTGCAAATATGAAACGTTTCAAGTATGTTTCATGTTTAGCGGGTTGACACCCGAACATTATCTATCATATTCTAAAAAATTTCCCCAAGATTTACTGGACAATCTCTTAAGTCAATACCCATTTTTTGATCAAATTCAGATTAAAAATGAATTAAGTGTTTTTTACAATGATACTGATATGTTTAAAACGTGTAAAACACCCACAGATTTATTAAAATTTATGTATGAAAATGAATTGCATACGTGTATGTCAGAGTTATATAAACTTGTAAATATTGTAGTAACTATACCTGTAACATCTGCATCGGTAGAAAGAAACTTTTCTGCGTTAAAACGAATTAAAACTTACTCTCGAAGTACCATGTCCCAAAACAGACTAACTAACATATCTCTTATTTCAATTGAAAAAGAATTTGTATTCAAAATGTGTGAAGATGACCAGTTTTATGAAGAAGTGATAGATTATTTCGCGAATAAAAAAAACCGACGAATTCCGCTCATTTTTAAAATCCAATAAACTACATTGATCAAAACGAAAAAGGAGCACTTTTTCAATTCAAAAATTCAAAGCAATTTTCTGTTTTTCCAGCAGATACGCAATTCCATATGAAACCAATAAAAGGGCCCCACACACTACGATGACACATGACGGTTTTCATCGCCGCGATGAAACACGTCGTTCCAAAACCGAAGTGTGTGGAAGAAAAACACGACGGTTTTCTACCACAAAATTCGGTTTTGGAACGACGTGTTTCATCGTGGCGATGAAAACCGTCGTGTTTCATCGTAGTGTATGCGGCTCTTTAGGTTGCTTTTATCACGGTTTGTTTACTTATTCGATAAAAAATTAGAAGTTTGTAAATTCGCTCTCACATTATTTAAATAAAAAGATAAACTAATTTCATTAAAAACTACGAACATATTCAGAATTGGCTCCTTTTTCTTTCTGATCAGTGTATTATTAAACTTTTTCTAAATACCTACCTATTCTAAGTTCTGATCATATTATTCTCTATCCTCTTTTTCCAAAATCGTATCCCAGTCCATCTCCAGTCCCAGAATTCCTTTCTTAACTATTAGCTATCCCAAACCTTTCCTTTCCTGTTCCTGGCAAGAGTGAGACTCTCACCTTCTCGTTGGTTCTTGCTGGACGGTAAATTATATTTTCTATTTTATATGTATGCTTTCCAAATAATGAAGCTCATGCACAGAGACTCGTAGGCATATCCATCACACAATTTATTTATCCAATCTACATCGAAATTTGGGGCATATTTCGGAAAATATGATCTATTGACGAAGAAGAGTTCTTTAGTTTATCAGATAGTCCTGAAGAAATTGATAGTTCACCTCTCAGGTTAATTACTCAGCATGCGAATACGGAAAATATATACTTATGATATGTTTATTTTCTTGAGCATTTATGGTTTTTATTGAATTTCAGATAAATTCTTGAGGACCTACGGCCATTTGCACCGCTATTGCTTAAGGGATATTTATTCCAAGTAGAACTTTGAATGTGACTCTTGT